TTTATACATTTTCATGTATATATGTGAAGTCAACTACATGATCCTTCCATTATAAGGTTCTGAAGTATTTTTCGGGGGGGGGGGTGTACCGTAGTGGTTTTGAGAGGTGAACAGTATTCTTTAAGTTCATTAGACGGAGAGGAGCCAGTATTCATACACTCGTATGCAATCGTAAGGCCATCTGCACTAAAGGAAGTGGGAGGCTTTAATAAAACAGATTCTTACATTTAGAAGTCCGACTACGTTCACAGTGGACGCAATGGCTTGACCATTGTTATGTGCCAATTGCTCCATTATGCTTCGTGTTTGTGGATATAACATGAATGTCAAGAAATTTATAGATATCCGTGAAAAGAAAAAATTCGTTGAGTAGACGGCTGAGTTAAATCGTTTCTTTGTAACCGTTTGCAAGTTGTAAAAGTCGAATCTCAGCCGTCTAAATCTGGGCCCTATACTTCTGGAGTAGTTCCGGGTGGCGCGTTCGGCCCTCTTCCTCTAATTCTTTATGTTAAAGACCTTTGAGAATGCTTCTCAGTTGGGGGGCCATTCTTGTTTGCCGATGACTTGATGGTTGCATGCATATTGCCGTGTGACGACCCGACCAGTTTCAGAGGGTTAATACGGGGCGAACTTGAGCTAGTAATCACCTGGCCCATCTCACTGAACCTTCGGTTCAACTTAGATGAGTGCGGTTGGGTATGCCTTGGCGTGCTTCCCATTCGCCCCTAGTTGTCTTTAGAAACTGCGATGCTACCTAGTCTCCATAGTGTCCCTGACTTAGGGCTCCGTTACTCTGACGACCTCAAGTTCTCTGAACGTGTTGTGACAAATTCGTAAGTCCAGAATACTACTGGGCTGTATAATTCGTAACTTTCATAACCACGAAGTTGAACCATAGTTATACAAAACTCGCGTTCGACCCCTATTACAATACTGTTCGTTTATCTCAGGGATCGTTCGTACCAACGACAAACTTAGGATTGATAGTGTTCAGAGGTACTTTACGTCTGGGCTATTTGGTTTCAAATGCGGTCAAGGTTATTCGTCGCGAGGTACATCCCTCAACCGCTTTAAATGAGATGCCTTAGGCAAACTCTGTACATTTCTTCAAGATTTTACATAAAACATCCCTTACAACTGGTGAGGAAATTCGTTTCGCACCAGAAGAGTCCTACAGTCTACGCAGTCAAACCTACAGTGCGCTGACGAAAGCTTCTTGGACATCCCTCCGGGTCAACGCTTTCTCTGTTGAGTACCCGGAAATATGGAACCATCTTCCTGTTGACCTCAGAGCTTCCAGCTCAACTATTTAGCTCAGTGGCATGTTAGGAAGATTCTCACCGCCCTACAAACTCTCGGACATACGGAGTGAATCACAAATACGTCCCACGACACTTAGTGTAGTAGGTCCCTTAAACGAATGAGGTGTCATACCATGACCGGTAAACTCACACCCCTTCCCCATTGCATCCCACGGACAAAATCAAAACAATTGGGGCTGCTTCGATGACTAAGCTGTCCGGCTGTGCCTTCGATCACTAATGGAGACATCTTCAGCCTTACCCCCCCCCCTCAAATGAAGGCATCACGAAAATGCAATGAATATGATATTTTCAGTCGGAATATACCCATGAAACCTGCGGCTATACGTATAATAGTGGGCATGACACTCCATGTACATTAGTTAAAATATACGCGTAAATAACTTCCCTTTGTCTTGGCTCCCTGCTTTCTGTTTTTCTTGTTGTAAGCAAAACCTTGAAAACCTACAATTAGATTGGAACTATAGTATTTCATCAGTGCTTTTCTCAAATATCACTGCCTAAATCACCAAGAGACTTCTCCGGAATCGTGCAACCTATGGTGAACGCTCTTACTGCATCATATGAAAATCCTCCCAAGAGGCCTCTTGACACTTATTGGTTCAGTGTTATAGGGAATCATGCATTTACTGCGATGTTCTACTTCTGAACGGTTAACTAGTCCGGTTCCGTCCACTGTAGCTATAAACAGCATGCAAAAACGCAGAGAAATATCTACAGTGGGGCTCCACCGCTATTCATGGGGCTACAAAGAGCGTTGTAGAGCATTCTGGTGGGTGTGGTGAACAGCTGTTCAGCATAGCATAAATAAATAAAAGTGCAACGTTTTGCCAGGGAGGTGATATCTTGTTACCAATATTACTTATCATTTTACGTAAGCATACCCTAACATTTTAATGAACGTAGAGATGCATTTCTTTTCAATGATGCTTAGAATCTGCTGTGGTACTCCCTTCTATGTGCAAGATATTTCAAATGAAAACACTTGAGTAGTTTGGCCAGCACTACTTTTTCTTTGAAATAAACTCGCTTAATTGTTTACCCCTTTTTCTCGAGTGATGCCTTTACTTATTCACTAAACATGGTCTTCATTTATGCCAGATGGCTTAAAAACTTAACAAAAATTCAACGCTCAACTTAATGTGCGCTATTTGCACGTGATGTAAAATCTTCCTTCTTTCAGACTGGCGATTTCCACTATCTGCGATGAAGAAGAGATGGCAGAAACATTATCGAAGATTTTCCACCCCTAAATGTCACAACCGCATCCGTAAAAATGATATGCACCCGTAAATCCAGGAATAAATTACTACTGTTATTATTCCTATACTAGTTATCCCCAGATATTAATGATCTTCCTGGATAATACGACTGGAAGCAAAATATTTGAATTTTTCAAATGTAGCATTGGAGTGTAGCACGTCTGTTTGAGTGCACCAAACGGGTTTAAAAAACTTTGTTTAACATCTTTCTCCGGTCAAAACAAACTTGTGGTTGGTAGGTATGGCACATCAAACAATGGTGTTCAGAGATGTCAGAAATGGTGTTGCGGTAGGCTGGTTTCGTTGAATCTATCTAATACCTCTCCGGCCTTACTTAGATCGTCTGAATTAGCTGATTAGCGCCTTACCCACACGCACCTAATGATAACAACAAATAACGAAGAAAGTACTCCGGATTCGAAGTATGAATCATTATCGTTTTAGTAAGGGCGCTCGGAAGGGTGGGGTATTCATCAGTCCACAATCAAAAACATTTTAGGGAAAGGTTCAGCTTACCTAGAAATGAAGGAGTGAGCCATGAAATCTGTGCACTCGGATGCTAACTAGCATACGGAAGTCACATGGCAGTTTACCAAAGGCGGATTCCGTTGCTGCAAAACACGAGCAGAGGCACGTGGTGATATCTAAACAGATTAGTCAGCCTGTGGTTAAGTGTGATGAATATTTAAATATTTATTTGTGACTGAACAGTGTTTGGGTTCCGAGGAGGTATGAAGCTAACGACAGAAAAGATTATTCAGGTCTGTAGAACGAAGGAAATCGCCTCTTCATTCAGCAGCTTTCCGGTGTTTATCTTCGGCAATCGACCTGCAATAAATGCACCTCTGCCTTTGATGGTGAATGAGCTGTCCACACGGACCCATTGGGCAACCACTATTTCTTCAGACTCGCTTGTGATAGAGCAAGAAGGAACACGATTGGGGAGCCAGTCTAGAATTGTGTATCGGTGACATATCCCAGTATGCCTAAATGGGTTACGTAGCTGGCTAGGGGATCATGAAGAAGCAATGTGATAGAACACAACAATCTACGATATGGCCTAGGTCCCCTGAAAAAGCCAAGGTGGATTGAGCGAAGAACTATTTCTTTTGAAGTACATCCTCATTATCAGCCCCATACTGGTGGATACGTTTTGAATTTCATAACACATCATTTAGTGGTAGCGCATCAATTTACTAAGATGATTGCAAATTTAAGGTCATTAATGAGGACAGCAGCTAGAGGAATGAACAAGCAGGCTGATAAGTACGGTATCTGTGTGAGGTTGTTAGTGATGTCAAGTAAAGCAAAGCAGGCTGTTACTTCATGGACACACGAAGGCTGGAAAAACCAGAGGTAAGTGGAAACATGTCAATAGGATTCCGTAATAACAAAGTGACGGAAAACCTCAGGGGCCAGATAACATGGGATGAAGAGTACAGGGGGTTCCTCGCTGACAAACCATAGTTCGGTAAGCGAAATTACGCAATAAGTCAAAGTAAGGATTTAGGCTAATCTGATGGCCGGGGTAATCACAGAAGTTATCTTCCGAATACAAAAGTTCGGTTAGTACAGATGGATACCAGTAGCGTCTACTGGGCATGGCAACTACTCCGAATACTGGATGCCATGTGTTGGGTCACTTTTAAGAGCCTAGCTCATATTCACTTTATCATCACTGTCCACTAAATATGTGAGTATCGTCCTTGTTTTCATTTGTAATCTAATAATAGTAATAATAAGATCAGATACAGTGGGCGTTGTTCAGGCACTGTACCATGAACCTGTGTCGTTGCACATCCCATGTAACTAGCTTCACAGAAGCAGTCAAACTGAAAAGTACACACACAGCGAGTAGAACCAGGGAGTCCACCTTCATGTCACGCAACTATAATTGGCTGGCTATGGAAGATAGGATATTGCATAGCATCTTTGGACGCTACCTGAAAGCTCCTTTCCAGATGTCGCGTTACAACCTCTTTAGTGGTATCACATATGAATATGAGTCTTAGGAGAAGAGGTATTTCAAAGACAGTAGTCTTCCTTGGTTCAACTGTTGTTTTCCCCCACGCGTTTGTTTATAAATGTGGCAGTATATCAATTCCTACTAAGCAGGCCATGTAAAATGTCAAGATAAAATAGCTGTGAATGGATATGAGCTCCTGTGACATCCGTCGGTTGACTTGGATATGAAGAGGGACACTATATTCTTACTCAAACACTTCGCACGGTCATTTCACATCAGAGTATGAAGTATTGTTGCGTTACGCAACTCAATATCTTGCCGCATCGGGTTACAATAGCGATTGTTTCTCACATTACTTTAGTTTTCACTATTCGAAAGCAAGCTAATGCAGAAGTTTCAAAATATTAACTTCATGAATGAATAGACTTTGTTTGTTTAACTTTCCCAAATGTCAAAAATGCTACGGGATCAAAGTGTCTCTGATTTCTCGTTTATTCAGCATGATTCTTGTTTGGGTATCTGCATTTTTGGTTCACTTGGCTTTAATCTTATACATTGCATTACCGTACATTGTTGAGAAATTTCCCTATTTCTTAAGACGTCTTGTATTTAATACAACCAGTAAGTACATTTTATCCTTCTCCTCGATAACTGACTAATAATTTTAAGATAAATGAAACCAATAAATAGTTTGTTGACTGATTTTCATTTTCCTTGAAAATCATACACTGTACACCTGAGACACATATGATCAGACGTTATAAGCTGTATTTTACTGCTTATTCTTCAGTTAGAAGAATATTAGGCTTAAGCATGGCGATAATTATAGCCAGTCATTTCTGTAAAGATCTAGTCGTTCCTTGAGTATGTTTAAAGAATAAGCTGTACATATCAGTTGTAGCAATGACTTATCATAATGGATTTGATCAAAACAGTTATTTGTCTCTTGGAATTCAAATTTTGTATGAGACTACTGCTGCTTCACCAGTCATCAGGTAACTTGCTGGAATTTGAGGCGTTTGAATATGTTACACCGTATGTTGTGAATTGTCTGTAGTTCCTATGCAAATTGCTAAGGTTAGGAGACAGCTGCAACTACTAAGTAAAATGTGTTCTGTGAAAAAATTGTGGGCATCTTTTTGCTGAGTTAGGTTGTACTGCTTCAGTTGCTGCTTACGGCTGCGTACACAAATGTTGGACGAATAATCTGGCTACACTGTCCGGCTTAGACAACCATGCTTCGTCTCTTTTAGTGGGAATAACTAGCCTATTCTACCATCTATCGTGACTGATAATTTAATTTATTATTGCTGTTGAACACCGAGGTAAATAAAGCTGGAGCATTAGTTTTATTCAAAGGAAGCTGACTGATTCATTTTAGCATCGAAATCGGGTACCTATTGTTCACTAGAAATCCTCTGATTTCGTTTTATTCCCTGAAACATCTTTGGGTATATGTGTATGGGTGTCGCTCCGCACTGTACTGAAAGTTTTTCTGCAACATTTTTCCAGTGGCGAGACAGTTACATATTCTGATGATTCTGTATATTACTGTATGCATCATACAGAAGTATAGAGGAGTGAAAAGTTGATGGGAACTGCAAGCTATCGGTATCAAACACAACTTCAACCTGCCTACCATGTAGAACTATAAGTATCAGGCGTTCAAAAGATAAAAGGATTCCAAGTTACTGTGAGTCATGCAGTTTAACATACGGAGTAATATGGATGAAAATAGTTGAATTCTGTTTCTCAGCTTTGGAAAAGCAACCTTATATCTGAAAAGCAAATGGATGCCGCAAAACGTCAACATAATGAATAACATCACTGACTACAGTTTAAGGTATGTCAAAAGGATTAAGTAAATGGGAGCAAGGAAAAGGCTGGAAAACCAAGACTAAGTAACTGAAGACTCCAAAAAGGCGGAAAGAAAATGTGTTAAGGCAAATAGCAAAACGGGATAAAGCTGAAGATGGAGAATGAATGTATCTGCACCACTGTGGTTGGCTCAGAGTTGTATTATCTAGAGCTTCCCAACATAGGTACTGGCTGTTATGTAGACGTTGGCTAGAAGATTTATCTAGTTCAGACCAACATCTGGGCAATCCATGGATTGATGCCACGTTTTTATTTATCCATCCTCAGGTCTTGCTAAATCTACGTATCTTTCCGCTAACATGCCTTGCTTGGGATAGGTGTTAATTCAGCATATTTGAAAAATGCAGAATACATAAAGTAGGGACTTTTAGTTTATTCGATTGACTTCTCACTCGATGGTAACCAGCTAAGCACACCTGATAGTTCAGTTTTTCGTTTTCTTCCTCTGCGTAGAAGGATCTTCATTACTATCTATGGTCAGTTCCTAAGGCGTTTTGCATATTGCTTTGGTATGTACCTAAACAGGGGAGCTTTGAACAAACTACGTTGAAATGCTTTTTAATGACAAAGATATTTAAAATGCCATCCAAATAGTTACTTTTCCTGCTTACTTTTTTTAGCAGCTGTATGCAAATGGATGAAAGTTAAATTGCAGTAAACAATGTGTAGTGTAGTCTTTAAATATTTAGCTGTAAAGTCATCCTCGGAATATTTTTTGCTATGCATAGGTTTTCAAAAGGTGTGCATAACAGGCTTCAGAAGGTTTTGCTGAATATTTTCCCACTAGGTTAAGCTTTACAATGTGAATTATTTTCTACTCGTACACTAACTTCCCATAAGAAGTAGCGTTCTGAATTTCTAATGTTTTTAACTTAGGTGGACCCTTGTTTGGCTCTAATGTTTATACGCATTTTGAATCTGTGGATATTCCTAGTGGGTATGCTCATAACTTCTATGTCAATTCTTTGGATAATCAAGCGTTGTTAGGAGTGTGGTAAGTCCAATTTCTGTTTGGTGAATCTGTTTGGCGAAGTCCTGCTTTTTGACAATATACTTAAGTCAGTAGCTACAAAATAATATGGCGTAAACTGACAGTTCAGTTTTGTACCATTGTTACCTGTCTCTTTCAAAACGAGATTGAAGCATACAAATGTATACTGGTTTATTTTTTAAACGTCTTTGCAATCCATTCAAAGTTCTCCCAGTATCAACATGAAGTAGGACATTATTTCACATTTGTCCAAAGTGTTACACTTCAGATCAGCACAATAATATAAAAGGCAACAAAATGAACGATAGAGGTAGTTTCATATTGGACTTGGTAATTTATTAAAGCACACATTGGTACATTAGTATTTACTGGATGGCGTTTGAAGTACGATTAATTGCTCGACCGATAGCTGCTACTTTGACGTGGTGGTTGAGCTTGCATATCTCGTTGACCCAATAAACTGTGATGAATGAAAAATGTTTACGGCAGGCTCTTACTATACCAGGATGATTTATGGAGTGGTGATAAAACCTGAAAGCCGTAACCGTCGAAGTGTAGACGGTCACTCTCTAGTGGTGATCCGAGAGCAAAGACGTAGTGCTGGATGTGTTAGGTGTGATAGCAGTAAGATTGAAAGGAGGTCAGGATAGTTCTCTTGTCGAAATTGTACGCTACTTTGTGCCTTGAAGTCTTCTGGTGCTAGTAGTATGTGTTTTCATATCCCGGGTTGAATACGATAAAAGTCGAATCTCAAACCTTCATAAAGGCCTCAGACAGATATCCTTTGAGCTCTTCAATCATGCAGAACTAATCAAGTTCCTCTTTTTGATTCGTTTGATAGGGGTGTACTCTGGAATCTTCTGTTGGGGGTATACCTTGGAAATTTATTGACATTTTGAAAGCTCTATATAGTTAGACCATGGGTAGAGTTGGGGCGTACGGTCATCAACCTCTGTTGTTTCACTCCAACAAAGGAGTTAGGCAGGGTTGTCTAGTTTCCCCATTCCTCTATAACTTTCCCATCGTCGACATTCTTGAGACAATTCTGGAGGTGAGTAATAGTGGTGTGGATCTACTACCTGGAGAACGGCCATTCGACCTTCAATATGCGGACGACATTGTCTCACTCTGCGATAGCAAACAGGCTACTCAAGTCGCACTTAATAAGTTGGCAATAAGTGTCCATAATTATGGTATGCGCTTTGCCCCATCAAAGTGCAAAGTACGTTTTTTGCAAGAATGGCAACAGCTTATGCCTCGGTGGTGAGCCGTTGGAAGTAACCGAAAGGTTCGTGTATCTGGGTAGGTGTGTGATGAAATTTCTAACAGCATATCGAAAGCCAGAGTGGCATATGCCAATCTGAGACACCTTTGGCACCGTTGTGGCATTAGTATGCCCGTAAAAGGTTGAGTTCTCAACGCTTCGGTGTGAGCAGTTCTGCTCTACACCTGTGAAACCCGGCCTCTCCTAGCTGAAGATATTAGACGACTCTGTGTGTTCGATCATCGTTGTCTGCGTGGGATTCCTGGTATCTGGTGATAGCACCATATAAGTAATTCTGAGGTACGACAACATGTGTTTCGGCATGATGGTGATCACCATTCGATATGTGAAGTCATCTGGAAACACTGTCTTCGGTGGCTTGGACAGGTGTTACGCACGTCATCCTAAAGGCATTCACACCTTCCATTGTTTGCTAACCCTAGAACTGGATGGAAAAAGGGGAGGGTTGGTCAATGTATGACGTGGCGCCGTTGGATGGATGATAGTTGTATCAGGTTAGAATCTATGAGTGCATCACGACCCGCTAGGGTGGGGTCCGGAAGATCACGCAGCTCAGTCGCCTGAGAAGTTATCAGATATGGCTCGGAATCGAAACCAGTAGTGGTCATGCTGTAGCTCCCTTCTATCTTCTGCTACTGAAATATAATAAATGTTTTGTTTTAAATGTATTTTACTGAACTGTCCTTCTAATCATGCTATTCTTTTTCTGTTTTTCTCTCATCCACTTCCCTTCGTTTTATGTCTTCATGGTGTTGTTATATTATATTGTGTAGGGCATTTCTTGGTACCTTTGCTGTACCTTGTTTATGTTCTAATTCAAAATAATTTAATAACTGGGTGCCGTAAAAAGTAACCTTCCCTGATGTTGGCAGACGGTAGTCGTCAACCGCTGTCACTTCTCTTCAACCTCTAAGTCTCATCAAATCATTATCAAACTTGTTTCACCTCTATAGTCGTTGGCAAATATTTGAGTTCGCTAGATATCACCCTGGTTCTCCTAAGACTGCACTCAACAACATATATCGGAACTTTTGGTGTTTGCATTTTTCTTGAAATGTGCCTGCAAGCTTCGCTAGCCAGAACTCCAACATCCTGGACCATGTATTTGTGCTGGATCTGCGAGACAATAATACGAGATACCTGTGTAGTTCACTTAACCTTGTCTGGGCAATACGGTGAAGTTGCAAAATTCACTCTTCTAGTTTCTGAAGATTCAATGGCTAATTATTGCTGTCTTTGAGGTACAGTTATAGAATTAAGTGCTAAGGCAGAAAGTGCACTACTCTAGTGGATACCAGTTAGCACTTGCCTCTTTGCTGTGATGTGAGGACTAAAGGATATAGGAATAGTCACCATTATCTTGCATTAATCTGTTTACACACCAGCTGACTGCAGTTTCGGTGAAGATGAGCTCTACTGCAACTGTTGAACCTCTCACTGGAGATCAAGTATTCAGAATTTGTAGCAGGCGACCCTAATCAACTGCGAACCTAGCACAATTCAACTTACCACACTTTAAATCAGCATCTAAAGGAGCAGTGGAGGCAGAAGTATGACATTTACCATAGGCAATGATTTCTTACCTCTCTCGTTACAGACTTTTGCTGACCAGTCGTCAGGCCCTAATACTTTGCATCGTGGCAGTTTCAAAAGTTTTCTCAACTTCGGAGGAATTTGGATGATCAACACTTACCTTCCCACCGAGATTCTGGTTGAATGTTGGGCAATTAGATCGTGGTGGCAGGTCAGTTAAACTGTTCCTCAAAGCGTTCTATAGGGTATTTTAGTCCTCTGTTCTAAGGTGTGGCGGTCTTATTTACCACGTATTGCCACGTGTTATCTAGCTCCGACGTCTTCACTATATTTTGATTTTACGATCAATTACTCTTTGCGATATTTTTTGTAGACTCTCAGTCATCTGGTGTTTAATTTACTCTTGCTGCTTATTGAGATGAGAGCCATCTAGATTGAGATTTCTTTCAATTACCAACTTTTATAAGGCTACATAGATCTATTGTCTTTTACTTACTGTCCATACAGCTGTTCCTACAATGGAGTGAGCATTAGATCAAGCTTCAACCTGATAGGTGACCATCCTCCTACTCTCTTAACATAGACGTTTTTCCTTTAGTGCATGTTTCAGAAATATATAATATCTACATGGTCTCAGATCCGACAATTTCATTCAGTGAGACCTGTATAAGATTAAGAAGTTAAAAATCTCCCACGTGAAACTGGTGGCTTGGTTTCAAAGGAGTGAAACTAGTGTTCTGTTGGCCTGAGGTGTTGGCAATAGTTGCAAGATAAGGAGTTGCGGAAGTTGTGAGGCACGTAATGTTGGTAATTGAGATAAATGGCGGGGACAGCGGAAGTTACACGGTTAAGGGAAGTGGTTTAAGATTAGATTGATGTCTCATACTACTGGGAGCTTGCAAGCAATTGTTGCTTGCGGTTTGCCCATATCGTGGTAGCTGATATCCCTCAGGGGTACTTGAACTAAAAAGTGGATTATTTGCATGTAACTAAAGAATATCAAGAACGTTTTTTGAGGCTCGTCACTTGTGGGCGTTTGAACAATTTTTGGATGTCATTTCGGTAGCATCATACCTGTACTTAAAAGAAACCAAGTCATAATTACCGGTAGTCTATGGAGTTAGGGTCAAGTGTGCTGTTTTAGGCATCGATATTTTGTAACCCTTTCTCTCATTAGGGAAGGCAGCATCAGCCAGGATTGTTAGTCATCCATGGGAAATACATTGATGTTTTCAAGCTTCACGCAGCTAGCGGTAGAACTTTCTCCTTGAATGACAATCATAGCATAAATTATTTGTGCTATGATAGTAACTGTGTACTGTCTTATCGCTATGCACCAGAGTTTTATGGCTTGCAAAGGCTACGAGGAACGATTGTTCCAACCATTATGACTCACTGTGTCGTTGCCATGGGCTGGTTTAACCACTACGTCAAATTATCACCTATCGACTAGGAATCTTGATTTTGAAAGAGTGAGGAAAATGAAAATTCTTGGGATATTATTTTAGATTCTAGATACTAAGAAATACTAGGCAATGTTGTGTTGAAATGAAGGGTTTAGCTCGTATTAAATATTTCTGTCATTGGGAAATATTCTCTACCACGATTGTTTGTCGTGAAGACTTGAGTCATTGGCCTAAAAAGCGGACTTTCGAGTAGTGACTACTGGTTTCGAAGCTCACCCTAACAACTTCAGTCCGAATAGCAGGTTATTTTCATAAGCCGCCGTATAATGTACGGCTTATAGCTCACTATATGAAAATTTACTGAATTGAGTTACATTTTGGATGCTGGATATCGTTCGCTTTAAGTGATATAGGAGATAGAAAGATAACATAGTATTTATTTTTTAGGAAAAGACTGAATAATTTGTAACCTTTTTTCTTATTCTTAATTATCTCTATATCATACGGTACATTGTAGATATTTAAGCAGTTTTATTCTACTAAGTACTTAATAATATGAAATGTATTACGGTCAGTTTGTCAGTGTTCTTTAGTTTTAACAATACTTATAACTCGAGTGGAATGAAGTCGGTTAATAATTTCTTTCAATGAGTACTTTTTACCTGGCCACAACACATCTTATCAATTTTCCGCTTTCCAACCAACCAGCACTTTTTTATTCTTCCACACAATCAAATTAAATTTTCATAACGCTCACATTCTATCTCCAAAGGACCTTAACACCACACCTTTTCGTGAAAATTCTGTGAAATTCCCTTGTTGGTAACGAGTGGTATAGTATTTAGAGCTCAACTTTTAAAGACTTTAGAAATAGGAGGAGAATGCATGTTTCTTGTTGATTTCCGATTGAGAACGAAAGGGATTTTAAAATTGGTTGATTGATGATGTTTAATTTATTTTCAAAACACTTTTGCTTATCAGCCTTATTTTAATAAAATGACGATGGTCTGCGTTATGAAAGATGAAAGATAAAGTACCCATTCTATTGAGTAAAATTTTCATTTTGTATCTTTCGGTGTAAAATGATGCCGAATAAGTCGATATTTTCTCCCAAATAAAACTAATCACCAATTTTCAAAATGTTTTAAAAAAAACTGTAGTCACTAAGCATGACAGTCGAATAGAGTCTCTTTACTATGAAAAAATTGTATAATTGCAATCATACTGAATGATCCAACTTTTCACAATTACAGAACTCGAATGCAACCAAAATATTTCACAATACATGCATAAAATCAAGTCTGAATCTTGTTGATATCCCAGCACATACCTAATCTTGCATTTTATTATTCACTGCCTACATTAATTATAGGATTTAAAAGTGTAGTTTATTTTATTTTATCATTATTGTATTGTACTGTAAAATCTTCATTTTATTCTCTGACACTAGGCACATACTTCCATCAAACAGTCAAGAAATCTGCGCTACTAGTTCACAAAGTTATGAAGAAATTATGAAAACCTTGCCTCATGATTTACCTGTATTTATTTATTTCCATGGTAATTCTAAAACAAGAGCTATTCCTTGGAGGGTGAACATCTACAAACTGTTGTCGTCACTTGGTTATCATGTCTTCTCCTTTGATTATCGAGGTATGTAACACAGCAACATGGTCCCTTTTTTTTCTTGATTGTCTCATAGTAAAGTTTAAAATCTATACTTTGACCAACGCCTTGTAATGTTACAAGTCACGAGGCTGTCTTGAAATACAGTGTATTAAATCTTGTGATGTCAATTAGTTAAAATTTGTAAACATAGTAGAATGTGAAAAATTGTGGTTGATCTACACAATGTTTACATAATATTAGTACACTATAAACAAATAAAAAGATAAGCCTTCAAATGAATGAGTACATTACTTTAACAACTGTCACCGAGGAAGACTAGATATGATTTTTTGGAAGCTGTTTTCCGGATTACGTAGATGTTGTTAGCGTACTCGATTGTAAAGTTCAGTAAATCAAGTGCATATATTCCATGATTCCATGTTTTATTTCTTTGCATATTTCTATCATAAATAACATTTTCCCAGAAAATAGATACGGGTGTGGATTAGTCTTTGTCACAAAAGAGTGAGTATCATTGCATACTCATGATTAGCATGTATTGAAGTCCTGTGACTCATCATATTAGGATACAACATATTAAACATAATTAACTATAGAATCATTTGAACTGAACAGAGAATATTCTTTTCGATAACTTCTTCAGGTTTTACAATTGTGTCCACTCTGTGTGTCTTTTAGAGACAGTTTGCCATAGATAAGCATCCAGATCAGCTTAAATATCCCTTAATGGAGTATGTCTCACAAGTCACCGAAAGAAGAGCTGAAAAAAAACTTGTTCAACTTAAAAAATGACTAGACAATCAAGCAGTTGCTGGCAAATTCCTAACAAAGCCAAAGAAATACGTATGAAGTTTTTCTAGTGTTGTGTTAAAATTGGCACAAATTGAAGTACTGTATCAGGATCTTCCAATTTGTGACAAACGGAACCACATTAGTCACATAGATATTGACGCACGATTCGAAAATCTACATATACAACAGGTCTAACGCTATCATCCAGTTTAGAACTAGAACATTTCAAATCCGATCTGGTTGACTGTTGCTGTGAATATACGAGCAGCTAACATAAGTGCTAAAGGATTTTAACTAAAAAACACAGGAACAATATTAAAAAGCTTGTAAATGATGAAAAATCGCTGATTATTAGGCTTGAAAAAGGAACGGGAGTAGTTCTTCTTGATCAGTGCGACTGCACAAGGAAGGTGAATGGCATAGTAGATGATAGGCTGAAATTATAAAAATTAAACATCATGAAGCACGTCAATGGTAAAATAGAAACAGAATTAACTAAATATTTGGAGAAATCAACAGAACAAACATGTACGATGTGCTAAAACCCATAGGTATTCACCGTGAATGTATAGCCTGCCTAAGATATACACAAGTTGGAAGTTCCCTTAAGACCTGTCAAGATAAACAGACGGGTAGCTAAAGAGGCAGTCGTTTTGGAAAAGTACCTTGATAGTGCAATACACGCATTTTCTTAGCTTCACCCCCGCTTCAGTACAAACGATTTTTGATGAAGTCTCCAAGTTACTTAATTAAGGCTGGATGCTTGTAAGATACAGTTCAGGAGAAACTGATGACTTTACGCAACAGATTATTCGAAAATGGTTGTCCTGATAGATTCATAACGAAGTATATTGTTACAAAAATATAAAGAAAAGACATTCCAACAGTTAGTAGAATACCCCTATGCATTCGATTACAATTTAAAGGTGACCTGCCTAACGAGATATTAATTCATAAACTAATCAAAGAATTTTAAACTCTGGTGAATTATAAATTATGTTTTCCGATGCTGCCTTTCATCTATATGTAACCACATCATTTGTCCTCTTAGGAATCTTATCAGGCAACTCCATATATCTTCAACTTTGCTTTCATGGATTTTGATTTTTATATTTACAAAATGTAGTCAAAACCAAACTCATATGAGTATTCTGTTCAAGCTGGGGATATGTAGGATTTCTGAATGTCTGAGCATACGGTTATTCTGGGTTGTATCTATCTGTCTGTGTTCGGTAAAATCAAGTCTTCTGATATATTTTGTATTCTTTCAGATAGTCCTCTCCTTATAGATTTATTTTATACCGAGAATATCAGATTTTTCAGATGTCTAACTTTTGAAAGAAATTAAGCTAATCCCTCAATTTTCATGTCTACTCTGTATGTTCTTTCCAAGCAAACATCTCTACACTGCTAACACCAGTACACTTGGGGAACTTCAGTCATATCTTTTGTTGAACCTATCGATATCACAGGCGTCTCCTAGTATAATATTAAAATCATCATTTGCTGTGGTATCGGGTGAAGTCTGTTGCAAGAAAATCTTTCTTTTATGGGCTGTGGTCAACAATACCTTGGACAGCGAGAAATGAAAACATTCTCTTTTCATATTTGGCACATCAGTTGACTCTATCATACTCAAACTATAAGGTCTATATAGGCATTGAACAAAATAGTTCTATGGTGGTTAATCGGTAACTTGTATAGAGCTGGTGACAAAATTATTCGACCAAAACAACTGTCCCTGACGTTGTCACATAGTATCTGCTACTTGATCTCCCATTTTAACCGGATGTTCTTTCAAAGGAACTCTTTAGAAAACTAAAACATTTGTTAGAATCATGTTACCATTCTATGAAGTCTCTGACACAATTTTTAGGAAAGATCAACCATACTCACATTGACGACGACGAAATGATGGTGTCTTTCGACGTTACAGCTCTATGCACCTTAGGTGAACCAAAACTGGCGAAGGATACAATGACTCTTCTCTTCAACATTGATACATACGTCTTGGACCATACACAGCTGTGATGTTCAAGTTTGATTGGATTAATTGACTCATGCCTTACAAGATATTTTCAATACAATGTCAAATTCTACAAACAGTTCAAGGGAACACCACAACACGCCTGTATCAAGAAGCGATAATGCAAAGATTGGGAACTGTGGTGTTGCGGTTGACCAGACCAAAACTTTGGATCCAGTATGTAGATGACAAGTCTGTCATCAGTAAAAGAAACGGACTGAAAAACGCTTACAAAACAGTCAATAACCTTTTCGAGGATCTCAAATTTATGATTAACAAAGAATCAGATAACAAGCTTGCATTTTAAATGTTCTGATCACCAGAAAGGATTCGGGAAAATTGGAAACTGAAGTATGCAGAAAACCAACACATACGGATCAAATCCTCAACTACAACAGTAACAGTGTAACAGCGCACAAAATCAGTGGGGGGATACTTGTGCATCAACCCTGCTGAGAAAAGAGTAAACTGTTTAATGGCTTTTCCAGAGGAGCGGCTATCTATGCAACTCGGTGAAAAGATGTTTACATAATTCATCGCTAACCAAGAAGTTGGCCTCGAAAACCAATAAATGGATTGTCCTACCCTACATGAGGAACGTCTCCGAGATCACAACCAGATTGTTGAAACCCTTTGGGATCACTGTAGCTCACAAGCCTACAAAATCTCTTCACTCTCTGTTATGCAGGCCAAAAGATACGATGGCAAAGGAAGACAAACATTATCTAGAAAATAAACTGCAGAGACTGTGAAAAACACTACGTCGGACAGAGGGGCTTCCCTTTTCGCATCCGTCTACACGAACATCAACTAGCAATGAAGGGTCATCACATATCTTCGCTCATATCAATGCATGCAGACAACTGCAGATATGAATTTGACTGGAAACATGTGAAAATCCTGAGTGGAGGAAACACAAAGAATACCAGAGAGTTTTAAAAAGCTTGGCATTGAGGTCGGTCAGCGATCCACAGACATAGATCTGTTGACTAAACCTATTATCCATTCAGAAGCAACGAGAAGGTCAGACTTCAGGTCGTCAGAACAATCAATCAAAATAAGTATGGAGACAATGGCAAGACCTTGACAGAAGCAACTAATCACACACAAGGCCATCAGGACAGGCTACTAAGCCACATGTGGTGAAAACCTTATAGCTGACTTGTTTTTGAAATTTGTGCTGACGATGTTGTCTAGAATGAAAATGAAAGCCTGGGGATTAAACCACTCATGTCAGAGAACTCAACACCAATAAAATCATCCTCCTAAGCTGCAAGTATTCTTTATCAGCTTATTGGATAACTGATTGGCGTCAGACGAATCAAAAGCTCAACGGTTGACTTTGGGCGACATGACTAGATGTCAGCTTCATCTGCTGGCGTCCATCCACGATGTATCTGACAATTATCTTAATATTTTATGCTGCTATTCACCTTTGTTTTTTCCTTTGGTTCCTTGTCACTACCGTGTAATTGTTGTTTAATGGTGTAAGTATCTAACGTTCAACTCTTATGTTAATGTTTGTAAACTTTATCCAAGCAAGTTTGAGAAGTTGAGTAAAATCATTAATCTTTATACAGTAAGGTGGGGTTCACCGTATGCTACATAAACTAGCATTTTTCATCTCAGTTGCAAACATTGGTAATGTCATGATTAGCATTTTTTGAAATCCTGATTTCTTCTACCTCTGTTGTAAACTTGTGTGCTACTTTCTGCACTCCCTCTATTCATTCACCTGTATGGCAGTTTTTATGTTATTGGTGTCATCATTCACTTGTACTGAAACAAATTACTGAGACTCTTTATTCTACATGTGGTGTTTTTTCCCAGTAAAAAAACTAATGTCATAATGTGCGTGTACTTCAGATATGTAGAACCGATGAAAAGTCTCACTGTATTCAGTAAAAAAGTCTATTTAAACTAGTGAACTCTCAGTGGTGTTTACTAGATTACATCCACTGATGAAATACATATGTTAACTAATTTTGCCATGAAATTTTGAGATGATCTAGTTATTGGATTAGTTCATTAATTTTATAGATCAGTGGTTGCATATCTTAAACAAGTTCAAAAATTCTACTTCTTTTAATTTACTTCAGTTACCATAGTATCAATTTATTATGATTGCCTCCTTGAGATTTGGATATTGTTAAAAAATATTCTTACAAGAAGAATACATATCAATGAATTTTTATTGAAAATTTATTAAGAATTCTATACAACCTATTTTTTGAGTTTGTAAAGTTAATGAGCTTGCCAGGTGAACTATATCTTGCAACCAGTATGAATCATCGGAATTTGTAGAGAGAATAATTTTTGGCAACTTAAATTAGTATTTTTGAAATGTTTCTTGGTTTACCTGTTAGCTTGTGAAACAATTATGTAATCTTAGCCAATAAGAGGCTCTTTTAGTTTGAGATATATTTAGTGGGTATCTTTCTGTGTTTCATGTTTACTTTTTGTCTTACTTTCAGTGTTTTACCTTAAGCAGTGCGATCAAGGTTGGCTTTACAATTTAATTCTCCTTGTTACGCTATGTCTTATTCTACATCTCACAATTTAAATCAATTATTTTCAGCTTTACATTTAAATTATTAGCCATACTGTTGCAGGGCATACCATTTCATTTCCACAGTGAATAATGCGGCTTTGAGTTTTTCCACTTTTTTGAAACTACCTTGAGGGTAAGTAAAACAATGGGGTTAGGTGACGGAGAGATATTTATCTAACTAGAAATTAGCGGCCCTATTCACTCACTTGATCCTGTCACCGTATGAATATCTGTCCTCAAATTACTAATGTGTTCTTTGAGATTACTGAAGCTATAAACAAACCGCAGGTGACTAAAATGTGACCAAACAGTGATTTAAAAGACTTAAGAAGCCGGCTAACCATTACGAAAACCTGTTTCCTACTTTTGAGATACAACGTGCAGAATTCCAGCTCTTGAATTCGATAAACAATGTTCATGTCAGGGGATTACTCCTATCTTTGACATGTGAAAATGACACGGCGATAGAAAGGAAAGCCTAGTCTGAAGAGGGACTAATCAAAATGCACTTTGTTATGACATCTAAAGTTAGACAAACGGTTGATCAGCCAATCAATATTATTATTTTAAACAGCGAACTGTCTATATATTAGATATATTTTCCTTTATTTTTGGTCTTCGGTCGTTCGAATCTACATGTCAATCGTATTTTCTCCATTAATTAGTTGGGTTGGGAATCAACTAAGAATTTGTTGAATGTTGGTAGCTGACAGTCGATATCCATGCATCGTTAGACGCCATAGGTCATAGCAATTTCCATAATCATAACAGAAAACTGATGGATCCCCCATGAATTCAGTCATATATATATATACTACTGCAATATCTGTAATTCCAGGAAGAAAAGTGTGAAGTTAACATGACTAGAACAAATACTTCAGTTTATATCAACGTAATGATGCTTGTAAACTGGCATCTGTGATGTAAAACTTACTTAAACCAAATTAATCTGAACTGTCGACAATATGTTGGTAACTATAACCAAGATTCCTATTATTTTCCTAAATGCCTTTCAACTAAGTACTCCTTATGTGCATAGCTCCAGCAGTATGAGAATATTTTATCTTCATTTTATCTCAGTATTTCTATTTTGTCCAGTATGTTACTACTGACCCTCTTGTACCAAAATAAAACCAAGTCATATTTTTTAATTTTATCGTGGATATTACTCATGCAGTTAGATAATAATGCAAGAAGCCAGCCTATGAAACTGTCAGTTGTGAAATGCTTCTGCATCTCCTAAATTACTGTATTTCTGCCAATCGGAAGATAATTACTAGTTCTTACTACCATATTTTCGATTAGTAATCAATGTTATTCTTGTGTGTCATGAGATAATAATGACTCTTTAAATGGATGGAATCATTTTATTCCTCTAGGAGGTGTAACTAGCAGTAAAGTTAATAAAAATTGGTGAATCTTACTTCAATTATTTTAAGTGAAATGTTTTTCCGTACTGCTAATTGGAACTGATATGAAGTCTCTCAAGTACAGTTTATTAAATCGTTATAAAGATATATATTTTCCACATTTCCAAGCAAATGACAATAATGAGCTTTTATAGAATGGCAATATGAAGAGAAATTCTTTCACCCTACCATTCTTGACCATGTTGGTGGTTGGAATTACAATTAGTACTTCAGAAACCATGCGTACAACTCAACTACCACTATATTCTTTTAACTTGTCATAATAAGCATTTTAGAATTAGTTAACTAGCGAAGTATGTAACTTTTTACCATAAATTCATGATATAATAGTTAGGTAAGGTATCAGTACTTTGTTTTTATGGCATAATTTGAAGTGTCTGAGATACTTCAAATTTAAAGATGGGAATAGGTTATTTGACTGAACTGAATCATTTTTACGTGTATTATTATTATTATTATTATTAGTCCCTTGGGTTCCTAGTGGAACATACGGCTTCAGTAGCACGTCTCCAGTGACCTCTGTTCTCTGAGATTTTTTGAACCTGGCTCCACGACAGCCCACAAGCTCTCATTTCTTCCTCGCACGACCTCCTCCATGTCACCCTTGGACGTCCAACTCGTCGCTTCCCATGGGAATTCCACTCGAGTACCTGGCCTGACGCGTGATGTTCTCAGTTGGCCTTCTCAGTGTATGCCACTTCAATCCATCTCCACTTCCTTCCACTGCATATTTGTTGGGTGATAGGTTCTCCGTTGGTTCGTTCCCAGAGCTCCTTGTTGCTTATTCTTTCTGGCAATCCATCTGATCTTCAGTAACGAGCCAGCGTAAGCAGTTGCTGATGAATGTCTGTAGTTTATTGGAAATTCCTTTCGTGACGCGCCAAGTCTCTGAGCCATACAGAAGCACTGACTTGACTGACATTGGTGTTGAAAATCCGGATCTTGTTCCATATGCTGAGTGCAGAAGATCTCCACACTGGTTTCAGGCTAATGAACGCCTGTCTGGCTGTCTTTTCCGATTCTGACTTTGACATCCTCGTCTGTGCCTGTGCCGCCTGTAGTTGATACAGTGCTTCCTAGTTAGGTGAAGGAGGTTACTTCCTTTAAGTTTCTCCTGTTGATGGTGACTGGAGTTTGTTGTTGGTGGCGGTGCGGTATCTTCATCACCACTATCTTCTCTATATTCACTTGAAGTCTCGTCTCCCTTCGCTGCCTCTTCTATCAACTTGTTAGTTTTTGCCTGCAGATCTTCAAGTTTATGTGACATCAGGCACAAGATTTTTACGTGTAAACGGTGGTAAATCGTCTACTCATACCTATCAGCCATATCAAAGTTCTGCTATTTAGTAGTCTAATACTATTTGAGTTATCACTTTCGTGATACTTGCATGGATTACCCTACAACTCAGCATCTTATAACTGAACTCTTCGTATGTTATTTATGAAAAGCTTTTTTGATGGTAATGAAATTTTCTTCTTGTATAAATATATTGTATGTTCTGATCAGCAGATCGAAAATTACTTTCATATAAGCTGAATTAGTGACTTGTTATGGGGATTTGTGAACTTAACTGAGGTGAACATCCCTCATGCCGAAAGTTATAATCATTTTCAGAAAGTGTTTAATATTTCTTATAATAACTTTTATCGAGTAAAAACGAAGGCATGTAGATAAACAGCAACACATTATCAGAAGCAGTAAAATGATTAATCGAAAGACAAGGAATTAATGGTTGGTTCGTTGAAGCAAGTGATGATTGAAAATTTTCACACATTTAACTTTTCCCTAATAAATTTGAATAAACCACCATTTCTAGAGTACAACGAATTCATTTTACTTGGCTGCAGTTAACCTATGTTCAGATAAATGATAGTCTAGAAATTAACTGCAAGTTTATGGGTCGAGAAAGTATAACATTGAAATCATAATATAATATCGTCGCCTACTTATGTAATTGGATAAGAAGTCCACGAATCAGAAAGAAGATGAGTTATAAATGTATAAACTGAAGAACTGACGACGGAATTCAATTAGTAGGCGAGCGTCAATACAAAAATACCCATTAAAAATGTCATTAAGAAGTATTTTCCCATAAGAGTGACAAATTTGTCTAGTTTTGTTTCTTTATGTGTAGGTCTAGTTGATTATTGTATATAGAAACTGCCGTTTTAAAGAAAGCTGGTCACTGTATTCTTTACAGTTTTATGTTAACCGCATTAAAAACCCCGTTTTTACAGATCATATAGTGAATAAACGGCTTCTTCCAAGACGTAAAGTTCTAGAGGCTTGTTAAGGGAACTCTCTAGATACCTTACCTCTTTATACAATAAGGGCTAACTGTTTTGTAGGCTGATCATAAAGTTCTTGCTACACTAACAAGTTTTCTGACTGGTTCACGCTTGTAGCTGACGGAACAACAGTCATTATAATACAGATACTATTCGGTATGGATATCTTCCATTCAAACAGTCTTTTCGGTATTTCATCATTCCTTCGTATATTGGCATCCTAAGAATTACACTGATCTTAAACTTGGTTTCGGTCTGGCGTTTGTTGAACCGTATAAACATCTGTGATGCCCGGTTTACATTATTATAAGATACAATATGTCCTCGTCGTACCTTTATCAGGAAGCCGTTAGTCTGATGACCTGTTTCAGTTGTATCTGTCTGTGGTAGCCGATCAAGATGTTGCGTAGAACAGAGAGTGTCTACCAGTTCATAGTTCTACCCATCAGTCTGCTGGAGAGTCAATGTGTTTAATTGTCACTGCAGAGAAATATTGGCTATTTTCTCTCTCTCCCTTGACCACAGTCACTGACTGTTTCATTTAATTACTGCGATTCCAGTCGTTTTGTAATTGACGAGCTACTGCGAAATAAAGCAATTGTTACAGTAAAGATGACTTATCGATACCCAATATCATTTTGGCAGTAACTAGAGATGACGTCACTATCAACAGTCTTTCTGCAGAAAAATAATATCATGCTGAACTTAATGAGATTCATCCCTAACTATCGTTATGCACCATTTCCTATTCTACCTTCTACCTGAATGGTGATATGCATTATACATATAATTTGATAACTGGATATAAAACATTCTTACCTACGTTTATTTTGTTTATATTTGTTTAAGGTTATGGGGATTCAACAGGTTCATTGACGGGTGAAAATGACTGCGTGCAGGACAGCTTGACAGTTGTAGAATTTGTTTGTCGACGGTTTCCATCATCACCAATTTTCTTTTGGGGTCATTCACTTGGTACTGGGTAAGAAACGTACCACTTTAGTGTCCAAAGTGTTTTTACGGTTTCATAATTAAACAAGAACTATCATTAAAAACTGCATCAATCAGATTTCTCATTAGTAACTCCGTTATTACCACCACTTTGCTGTAAATATAAATAATCTAGCTTTCATTTTACAAATGGATATAATTCACTGTTATTTGTCTTCAGAAAAGGTTGTTAACTATTCTTGAAAATCGACATTCGTGGTATAATCGTTTTTGCGTCGAAAAAACAAGTTAATCCTTCAATGCAAGCTGCGATTTTAAAAATGACAGTCCGCTAAATTCATTCCTATCAAAATTATTTTTGCATATGTTAATTAAATGTACATGAAGATGTTATGCTCAAACACTGGTTCGAGTTGTCGCTGTAGTGTATAACGATTTCCCAGTCTCAGAATGCCCTACGATAGAATTAATATATTCTAATCATATATATATATATATATATATGTATAATCGAACTGTCTTCTAAGGATAGTATTATGCAATGCATGCATATCAATTGTGCTTTTGGATTTCATTTTTTTTCACGGATTTAGTAAAGTTCCTGTTACTTTCTGTCCACGCAATGTTTTTGTATAGTTTATAAAACCTTACTTAGACTATAAACGGATATATAGGTATTATTCTCATGCTTAGAAGTTACTAAGATATGTACAGCTGAAGCGTTTATGAAATCCCATATTGTTTTTAAGCATGTGCATTTAGGAGCTGATCGTTGACTGAAGCCGTTTTCTCCTTTTGGATGATCAGTTATTTAGTTGACGAATTCAAACACAACTATCGACCATAATATTTCTAGGTAAGAAGCCTTTGTAGCTCAAGTTCTGTGGTATTTTTAATGTGATTCCCGTGTTCGTCACTCGAGAACTTGCTTGAAGAAGATATATGCTTAATTATGATAGTAAGTTGTCTCTGTTTGTGTCTTTCTACTCATGATTTACTGCATATTTACATTTCACTGATTCTTTAATTACCATTTATTCTTCGTTGTTAGAGTTGTTGGCTGTCTTATGGGTCACTTGCTTGACAAAAAGGATCACTTATCGCATAATATTCGTCTTCCTAAAGGCATAATTCTTGATGCTCCATTCACATGCCTGACTGATGTACTGGGTTATAATGTGCTTCTTAAGGTAAACATACTTTTGTTTTTGCATAAGCCTTTAACATTGACTAAAAAATTCATTTATTCGGTCTGTAATTATGAAACAATTATAAGATTCCCCTATGACTTCTCACTCATACTCCTAACCCTTGGTGTAACGTATAATAATGTAAAGAAATTTGGTATAATATTACTTTGATGGAGCGTTAAAAATAGCTGTTTAACATGCAAATTTGAGTAGGTGGATTCCACTGAACATTTTGTTTTGATTTCAAGAACTACATGAAATATATATAGAGCATCATCTTTTGCTTCTTGCTACTTAATTTCCGACAAACTGAAATTTTATCTGCAGCATTTCAGAACTATACACTTTAAGCAACTGACCATCTTAATTCGCTTTAAAAGTTTAGATTTCGATTAAAGCCTACATGAAAAGTAAATAGATAGCACAAAATAAGTTAAAGAAGAAAAAGAAACATTTCCAATAGCTATACGATCTATTTTTTAATTGAATAAATAAGGAAGTCTATTATGAGCGAATAGGCAAAAATAAAGTCATCAGAAAAGGATGATTGTTAGGAGAAGGGGATACTAAATCGTTTATAAAACTACAAATAGATTGCACAAGAGTGTATTGGAAAAATATTTACAATCGACCACGCTGAAAGCTTTCAAGTAAGAAAAAAACGGGATTAAAATCGGAGTAGAATATCAGGAGACTTTAGTAGGAAATTGGAACTAACACGTATAAACGTGCGAAAGTTAAGCATAAGGGAAAAGGAATAATAATGGGTAATATAACCATTTTTTCCAGTTGGTTACCGCTGGTAAACTTAATTCAAGTGATTTATTTTATCAGCTCAGTTAGTAACCTCTATGTATCTGGCAAACAAATATTCTCTTTTGATTCCACTTCACTCTTTACAAGTGTTCCATTCACAGAATATTTATCCTGTGTGTAACTACAGTAAGACTAACAATATCACAGTTGGTGTACCAGTTCCTTATCTTACGGAATTAATTCTCCGTTGCACTTATAACGTACATATTAGACTCATTTTTGAATCTTATCAGCAAATAGATTGAGTGGTAAAAGAGTCACTACTGGAACCCCTTCAGGTAGATTACTTCTTGGCTAACTTGAAAAACACAGCACACCATTCAATTCTTGATTAGTTTCATCTACACACAAGAGACAAGGATGATACTTTTATTGTTTGCAATAAGAAATTGATCTTGATGGCATACTACTAAAGTACTATGATTGTCATCCCTCGATCAACTTCATGATGGGAGTCAAGTGCAATTCAGAATCCTATTTTCTTTAAGTTGAATACTAAACTAGAAGGCTATGTATTGTATTCATTATAAGTCATCGATTCCTGAGAGATTATTAGTAAATTCCATGTTTCGGTTTGTGTATCTTAGTGGTTATTTGAATGTTTTTATAATTCTGTTAAACTACTCAGTAAATGAGTTCACATAAACTGTTTTTGATTAGTTTTCCCAGTATCAAGATAAAATGATTCAGTTAGTAGTTTACGACAATAAAATTCCACACTGACTTCTTTTTGTGGATAGTTTAAACATTTTCTGGATTAAATCGTTAATACTGACACTTAAATTGTGTAAAACTACGACTGAAATGAGTAGGATCAAGCAAATGTGATAGTCAGGATAAGTGCTTACAAAAAATGCATATCGAAGTAATTAAAGCTTGTTCATCATTCAAGTCCATGATATGAGGCTTTACTTGATGAAGAACAAGATATTCAGCGAAGAGACTCTTTTCAACGAATTTATTTTCAAGCTATACAATCGTATATATATGATATTTGAAAAAATTATATTCCATGAGGAAAACTAAACACTATATGATGATAATAATAATAGAGCGGATGATGACATAGGCATTTGCGATTATAATAACAATTGAAGTGCGGATGATAACAAATAGATTATGTAATATATGGAGTGTTACATAGAAAGTATATAACTCAGAAGGGGGTGAAAAAATTGTTGAAAATGGTAAATCAATTCAGTATTATGTAATGGCATTAGACAAGTTGGACAGGATGAAGTCAATGTTTTCTAAAAGGATTAAGACAATTAGGTGAAATAACACCGGAAGGCGATTATAACAATAATATTGATAAAAGAAGGATACAAAAGTTAAATTAACAAAGTGGGAGGGGGAGCTAATGGGGTGGGAAAATGTTATGGCCATGATAAAGACAGTGACCGCACATACTTCTTTTGTACACACAGGCCAGGCCTTAGTTCATGAATAGCTAAAGCCTCCGCTGTTTTAAGGAGTTGGAAACGAAGAGAACATGGGAGGTTTGGGCGAATTTGATAAATAATTTCAAAGTCATCGTCTGGATTTGTTGTGTGTCATCATGCGCTCTATTATTATTGTCATCATCATATCGTGTTTAGTTTTCCTCATGGGATATAATTTTTTTTCAAATATCATATATATATATATATATATATATATATATATATATATATATATATATACGATTGTACAGCTTGAAAATAAATTCGTTGAAAAGAGTCTCTTCGCTGAATATCTTGTTCTTGATGTCACAATGGGAATTATTAAATTTACTTTATGAGTCCATTTTAAATCTACAAAACTCTAAAGCATTTCACAATGTGTGTTTACTCAGTATAACCTGTTGGTACACTTTGGTATTTTTGACAGCTAAAGCTGTGAGTCGAATTAATGTGATATGTGGTAAATAATTGTGCTGAGAGATGCTTGTAGATAAACATATTGCTAGAGACATCAAGTTTTGCTGTAGAATTTGCATCAAATGAAGTGTGACCTTCAATATCGGTATCTAGTTACTTGTCTTGGCATTGTGATTGAGATACCAACCTGCTGGGTAGGTTAAAACCACAGGTTCTGTATATCGTGTTAGAGATGTCAGGAAATATAATGATCAGAATTTTTTAAAAGCACGTAATGACGACAAACTGGTTTGTCTACTTTAAGCATGACTTCGATCAAGATTTCCGTAGCGCGAATTTATGGACTGGTAATATATCAAGGAGCATTAACCGACCAAGAGTATGAAACATATCTAACTCTTGAAAAACGTACATTCATCACTATTATATCGATTTGGGGTGCTCCATCGAGATTTATGCTCTGGCGGAATTCAAACCACTCAGAACGCTAATCTTAATTTAGTAATTTGGTTCAAAGTACTTTCGATGAATGTAAACAATGAAGTGTTTATATCGGATGGCTATTTTGAAATCTGTCTACTCATTTTTAGTTTAATTTCCAATTCATATTTTTAGCCTTATCAACTAATGCCGACATTGCAAGAACGATTTTTATCGGCCATGAGCAAGGTTAAATTATCATTTGACACACAATCGAAGTGAGTCTTAAAATAATATAAAAATATTAAATACAATGTAACTTAATTAACGTAAGAGCTTGTGCTACTTTTTTTAAATGTTGCTATATTTTACCCGCTTTTCAATTGCACATTTATAAAGCTTTTCTTAAAATTATGAGCCATGTTATAGTTTTTACATGGGGGTTTTGTGCATGTGGCCAGTAATATGTTTTTATCAACAATTTAATTTTCTCGCCTCTTACCTTTATGTGCTGATAATGTGTGGCAATTTAGACTGTCACGCTGTAACACCAGGTCTCAAGTTATTGCTGACCGACTGAATAAATCACCAAGTATTTTGATATAATTGTTTGATGACGCGTCTACCTCGAAGGAATTCTTTTGCATAATAACAGCATAACATTTCATGCAAAACATCTTTCATCATTGATGTGAGCTTTTTAACCTTAGGATTGCTAATTTTAGCTGAACATACCACTTCGATTACTATTACGTTTATTTTAGACTTGTATGCATTTGTTTATCATGAGCCTTTTTCTACTTAACCCTGATATCACTTTCCAAAGTTGTCTACTGCAGTAATCTAGACGAGGCATATTATCTAGAAAGTGTCATCTTTGAACTCACACCATGCTAAGAAGACTGTTCGTGAGGCATAAAACTAAAACCAGTGTCATAGCGTAAGAAAATGTATGATTATTTCATATTGGAAGGAGAAGTTGAACTGCTTAGTAAGCCATAGCTCAGCAGTCTAAATGCGTCTCAGCTTTTCTGTCTTCCATTGTCGAAAAAATAAGCAAGAAAACGTCAATCTTAAAGTAGTAATCCTTCCACGGTCTGGCATTATTGGTGATAAAGCTTTTGATTTCACAGTGTAACTGCAAAATCAAATATCTGTGTGACTAACTTCAACCTAACGTCTACATGTTTCTGTTATTACAACTTTGATTCGTCTGAAATGGTCTGTATTTTGGATTCCAAGTGGAACACAGACCTTCAGTAGCACGTCACTATTTCACTCTCTTCTCTCAAGTCTTTTCAACCTGGCTCCATGGCTGCCCACAAGCTTTCATTTCTTCCTCACACCATCTCCTCCATATTACCCTCGGACACTCAACTCGTCATTTCCCGTCTGTGTTCTACTCGAGGAATTGGCCTGTCGCGTGATGTCCCCAAACGGTCTTCTTAGTGTATGTCCAATCCAATCCATCTCCACTTTCTTCTGCATATTTGTTGGGAGATGGGTTCTTGGTTGGTTCGTTGCCAGGCCTTATTGCTTACTCTTATTATTCTTGTCATCTGATCTGCAGTATCGATTCAGCAAAGGCTGCAGCTGTTGATGAATATTTGTAGATTGTCGGCGAAACCCAAATCTTCTAGGATCTTTTCATCAATTCACGTATGCCCGTCTTCTCGCTCCTCATAGTTTCTTGCATGATCCAGTCCGGTCCAGTACAGTACAGTCTAATCCAGTCCAGTCGACCACAATCACGATGATCGGTGATAGTAGGCAGCAACCTTGTCCTACTCCTATATCTCTCTTCTCCAAAGGCATCACTGAGCTTTCCATTGTGAATCACTTGGTATGTAGCCTCATCATATAACACAGCATATGCCTGTTGAATGAGGTTGTTGATAAATGTTTATGGTACTCAAAGCGTGATGTTGAAGCAGCTGCTGAATTACTACTCGGTCGATGCATTGATCGAAAGCCTTTTCAAAAATGAAGAAGTTGAGTGAGGTAGGGGGTTGACTTCCATTCTATGGTCTGTTCTATGATGTTGCGTGGCGTGGTGTTGCGTTGCAATTTGATCAGCACATGACTTGTTTATCTGGCTGAGTTTCATGTGGTCGTGCTGGTTTCCTGGATTTCAGCAACTTTGTGGCGTTCTGGACTTCACTAAGCTTTTTTCGGAGGGCTTCTGTTAACTGACAGTTCCGTAGCTTCTGGTGGTATTTCTGAACGAATTGCAGGTGGTGATGGTCGATTGAAGACCTTTTGAAGTGGTCGGCCCATCGTTCCCTTTGTTTCTCCTCTTTGGTAACTAAATTTCCCTCATCATCTTTTATTGGTTTCATCTGTGTTGATCTCTTCCCTCCCAGATAGGTAGTAACCTAGTTATTTGATATAGTGTTGTCAGATCTGTGTCTCTCCTCTCAGCCTGCAGCCTGTTCTGCTTCACTTGCCAGTGTGTCGTAGAAGTGTCTTTTGTCTTTCCGCGCACCCTTCTTCACTTCTTTGTCTTGTCCAGTGTTTTATAGGTTGTGTTCAGTTCCTCCTTTTGTTGTTCATCCTTGCCGCGCACTGGCTTATATTCTGCTTCACCATCACCATAATCCTCTCCCTCCTCTATCAGCTTCCATGTGTCGGTCGAGATCCATTCCCTGTCCAGTCCTGTCTTGCTTCGTCTTCCTTCCTAATATGGTTATGCAAGTTTTCTTGCACGTCTCTTTCAAAGAGTCCCAGTGTTGTTCCATGCAGGTTTCCTCAGGAATGTTGCTTAATGTCTGCCATTTTGTCCTGATGGCTGATTGATGTGAAGATGTCTTTTGCAGTTCCATCCTCCATTTCGATTTCAGGGTGGGTGTTGAACTTGAAATGTGGTCCTATCCCCAGCTAGTTTGAACTGAAGGCTTTCAACTTGATTTTGAATGTAGGTTGCTTGTATTAGATAGTGAGTGTTGTGAACCTAATCTGCTCCCCTTCTTCATCTTGTGTCAAGTGGGCTGCGTATCCATCTCTACTTTCTTGAGATTGGGATGAAGATCTGATTTTCAGTGTAGTGTGTCCATCTGGTAAAATCTATATCGCTTGTGTTTCTACGCACTGCCTCTAATCATCAAAACATTAAATGCACAGAAGTCTAAAAACAGTTCTACATTCTAGTTCATTTCACCGAGCACTTCTTGAGCCATGGTTAGTTGTCTTCCTGTGTTGTCTGCTCCCAGTTTGCCATTCATGTCGCCCATTAGAATTTTGATGTCCAGTGTTGATTGCAGTTGTCTGTAGAATTCCTCCTTCTTCTCTTCATCTTTATTATTTGAGGGTGCATAGCGTAGCATCGTACGATTGTGACTTTCCTTCCTTTCGAGTTGAACCTTGTTGTCATGATTCTGATCATTGAGGAGATTGGTTCCCACTGCATGAGAGCTTTCGATGCTGTTGGGGACATCATGATAACCACTCGAAAACTCAGTTTGCTGTGCTCGTGGTTGTTGTCTGGGTGACAATATCGGAGTAGATTATTGACTCTCTAGTTGACAGTTTGGAGAGTCCACTTGCATTCCATCTGATTTCGCAGATTCTCAGCCTGGCACTTCCATGCCGTACCTTCTCATCTCTTTTGCAATCTGGGCAGACTTACCAGCCAGCTTCAAATATAGTGTGGACATTCCATGTCCCCATGTTTACTTTCGCTTTCATCGGGAGAAGAAACCTCGGTCAATTGGTTTCCCGAAGCCTTTCACCAATTGGTGTCATTTCGTCTCCCCGATTCCAGTGAGGAATAAGTTTTCTTTTTGTATTTTTTGTACTTTGAAGTTTTTTTAGGGATTGGATTGGTTTTACGAGGTAGGGTTGCTAGCCCTACTCCCAACCTTCCCTCTTTATTCGGGGTTAGGACCTCCTGATAACTAGTGAACTAGTTAGTCAGGCGAGGTTGAGCAATCTAATATGGAATTAGTTTTTCTGGTCTCATGCATTTAAACGTTTATGGTGTATAGTTAGACACTTTTTACATAATGTCATACCGTTATTTGTGCATTTGGTATTACACATTCACTGACTTTTGTCAAGATTTAAATATGTTACCAATGTAATGTTGACTGATAATCACTAATAATGATGGGATTTCATAAATATTCAATGGTATCAGCTGCAATACGAGAGCAATACGCCAGTCTGATATTTAACATGATGAGCTACCACTATACGTGTTCTAACTGAATTGCTGCCGATAGTAAATGATAACCCAATGGTGTGTTTTGTAGCCGTTGATGTTCATTAACAAGTTGTGTTCAAGAGTAAAGTACCTCGTACTTCCTCAAAGAGTAGAAGTCGTTTATCTTAGTTTCATGATTGTAGAAGTTAATGCTCAGTTTTCCTTACCAGTACTGATTCCTTATGTGAACAGATATAGTAGACCAATTAGTCCTTGAGCTACTACGAAATCCGTATTGCTACCATTTATAATTTAGTATTAAAAACTAATATTACTGAGTCATCAAGTGATTCTATACACAGTGAAATTTAATTTTTGATAAAAACGCTAATTAACAAGATAGTAACTGTGATCGTGTCAGCACACATTTGTAAGTCGTTAACTTAAAACACAACCGCTAAAGTATGCATCACGTTTTTCATTAAGGGTTACTCTCTTTCATAGGTTGAAGACTGAAGAACAATCCATATTAAATTTGTTTGTTTGAGTTACAACACACAGTTGGTGATACAGTAATCACATCAATTTAAACACACTGCTTTCGATATCTGATTTAGATAGTCTTGTCACGTCATGTTATTTGTTTTTATTGATAGTAAAATTTTCTACATCTCTGGTACGCAGGTGTTGCGTCATTTCGATTACGTGTTGGGTGTTGTCTGATTCGATGAACAAAGATTCAGTAATCAATGTCTTTCTCTCACTCCATTGTGTGATTACATGTTGATACATGCATTGCAATAGCTGGGTTGTTTTTCCAGATTATTGATTTTATTTGGGTCTGTCACTCTACATTTGACTAAATTCCTCTGTTCTGCTATTCTAATTAACCCTGACCGGCTAGTTTAACCTGTTTATTTGACCTCGCAGTCGTTACCTGGAATTTGATAGATTGGATTATTTTACTTGATTGGTTGTATCGGATCCTTAAGCCTTATGACCAATAATTTATGCTCGAAAAGTCTTCAAGTAAATAATACTATTTCACTGAGTGTTATAGATCAAATAAACGAATCTAACATAGAATTAAATTCTACCACAGTACTCAAGTTTTACACCTTTATTTTGACATATTTA